GTCGGGGAACGGTGGGGGGGTGGGAGAAGGGAGAGGGGGACGGTGGACGAGAGGAGTGTTCTGTTGGCGTAGGTCATGGAGATGAAGAGAGTGGGAGTCCGAGGAAAGAAGTTCAAAGAGGGTGGATATCGAATATCATCCATCTTCCGAGGACCAAGACATCTCGGAAAGCCATAGGCTGACGCGAGCGTCAGTTCAGTTTCTGTGTAAACAACGGTACATAATGTCATCTCAAAGTATCCAAGTTTCTAGACAACGCTGGCGAGGAGTTTGGAGTTTTGTTTTTGTTTGTGTCACTTGGACATATGCACTCAATGCCAGCAAAGACACATTTATCTCTCTTCTCCACCGATAAGCAATGCATTTTTGATTCGCCCAAAGAAATTGTATATGTTTGTAGCCATGAACAATCCCTACTTTCAGAAAAAAGAGGACAACATGTAGTCCATCATTATCCCGTTATGCCAGAGCCATATGCAAACTGTCAAACCTTTGTTGGTACAAAGTATGCATTTCCCAGTCCCCAGACCCGATATCAACCCGGTCCTTGCGGCCCCTCCTCTTACCCGCCTATAAGGCAGGTTGAATACATGTTATTTTGACAGTACCAAAACTCAAAGACTTCCCATGAACCCGCCCGTCCCTCATGCCTATGTCCTGGGTAAGAAAAAGATGACTTTTGAAACCTAATTCTTTCTGAAGAGGCTAGGAATGTCATTAACATTGACCTTGCCGTCCAGAATGCCGTCGACGAGCCTGAACAGAGGATACTTGTCCTCGATACCGCGCGCCCTCAAGAAGCTGCTGACTTCGCGCGAGGTCGAAATGCCCTGCAGCTTCTGCCCGTTGAGCTCTGTACGCTCAATCTCCTGAATGGACACTCCGCGCTCAACCGCCATCTTGGAGTACCGCCAGTTGCGGGCAGCGGTGCAGCTGACAATCATGTCGCCCCACCCGGCACTCTCCTCCCAGAGCGTTGCTGGCTGGATGGTCTCGGGGTAGAACTCGCGAGCGAACTGGATGATCTCCAACATGCCACGACGCATGACGGCAGTCTTGGCAGTCATGTTCCAGCCGTGACCCTCCACAAAGCCACAGGCAATAGCGACGATGTTCTTGAGCGCACCGCCAAGTGAGACACCCACCACGTCAGACACCATCGAGACGGTGAAGTAAGGACGGCTGAAGAGTGTGTGAAGGACCTCGTGGTCCAGCGGGGGATAGTCTTCCGGGACGGGTGTGAGCTTCGTCTTGACAATCTGGCCACGAGAGTCGCGGTGCTCCTCGTAGGCCCCTTTGCCGTTGCCATTGGCTTGCCCGTTTCCGTTGGCCACGTGGCGGTCGCAAGGAGGTGTGTTGTAAGCAATGGTGGTCTCGCACCAGTTCTCGTTGGCAATTTCGCTGGCAATGTTGGCTCCGCTCAGGGCACCGCAATAAATCTCAAGCTGCTCGCCAATGAACTCGCAGATGAGTTCGATCTTGTCGTCGGTTACGGTCACACCCTTGATGCAGCTCACGCCGCGGGCATAGGGGAGAATCTTGCCCTTGAGTTGTCTGCAGATGTTGTTGATGAACTCGTGTGGAAAGTTGAAGATGAGAATGGTGGCGTCCTTGACAGCGTCCTCGATGCTGGGGTTGGCGATAAGGTTGGTCGGAAGGTTGATGCCTTCGAGGTACTTTGTGTTTTGGTGCTTTGTGTTGATGACCTCGGTCAGGTTCCGAGTCTCGCCGTCAACTCTCACCTTCTCCTCGTACACCCACATCTGAACATCCTTCTCGAAAACATCTGGGTGCTCGCTCGTGCTCTCAGCGATGACCTTGCCGACAGTGGTGCCCCAGTTTCCGGATCCAATCACTGCGACCTTGTGCTTGTGCGGAAAAGAGTCCGGTACGGTCATTTTGGCGGATTGAGAGTGTGTCGTACGGCGGTGAGACGGCTGCTGCTTGTTGTTGAGAGTGAGAGGGGCAGCTAATGACACAGCGATGTTGGAATAGCCAAGCGGTGGAGCAAGACCAAGAGGGTCTAGATTGCGGCAGCGGAGCGGGGTTGGACGAGGAGAGGGAGTGATGCCGCAGTGGTGATCGGGATTGGGATTGTTGAGGAGGTGAGATGAGAAAGCACGACTTTGCCGGCAAGTTCTGGCTTCGGGTGAGGGTCTGGCTTTGGCTTTGAGAATGGGGTACCGGGATGGGCCGCTATGCGAGTGGATATTCCGACAGGAAGAATGGGGCAGGTCCGGCGTCGAGCAAGGGAAGGGCGATAAGCGACAAGACTTGGGAATGGAACAAGCAGCAGAGAAAATGGTCCGAAGCAGCAAGCGAGGGATGTTGGGACTCTTCTTGTAGTCCGCTAGTCGTAATATCTTCATGAGCCAAAACAAAAGAGGCCGGGCGCGGGGACGGTGAGATGGGGCGGGGAGGGGGGGGTCTGGATTCAAATAGGGGACTTTTCAACTGTCTCTGGCTGCTGGCTGTGTGTGTCTTTGTCAATCAGCTTGTGAACTGGTTCGATGACCGCCACTGGCCGGAATTGCTGCGACGCGGTTGGCCCATTCCGAAAGGCATGACGCAAAGGGGGTTGCCAGGGAGGGCTTAATTGGCAGAAAATTGTTCACCGCCTGCCTCTTTTCCCTTCCATTTTTATTTTAGGTCGTGGCTGACAGCTCAGCGCGAGCTTGTGATTGCGGGCCTTCCGTAACCACACACGGCTCGCCTCGGCCATTGCCGTTCAAACCTCCGTTCACCGAGGTCGCCAAGCCATCTCGGCCATAATCGATATACAGAATCTCTCATTCACCGAGGCTCTTATCAACATATCAGACCTTATCTCCGTGAGGGCCTCCTCCTCGCTCTGGAAATATCCTCACATTGATCACAAGACTCTGCCGAGGCTTGAAGAGCAACAACTCCTGATAATGCGATAATTACCTGCCCATGCGCTGAGAATTTCTGCAATACAACCATGCCTCGGCCTTCAACACCAAGGCTGTTATCGCGAATACCACAGTGAATATGGCGATCGTTCCAATACGAGATGGTATCAACGGACCCCGGAGCACCGGATGCAGACCCAGGACTTGAGCCGCATCACTTGGACGTCCGTGACAGAATCCCCTCGTGCTGTAGCCAGGGTCGGGCCGCTGCTTGGACGCCGGTGTTGCTGGGACATGCGTCTCTGCAGGATCAGTACCTACAGGATGAATGGGGCTTCAACATGCACACATGGTGGAAGTGCATAAGCTCGCTGCCAAACCATTCGCTTCTCGGGGTCGTCTGGAGTTGATATATAACACCACCACCGTTGGTACAGAATCAAAGTGGTGGTTGTCGAGTCAGAACCATCACCGTTGGAGGTCATCAAGGTTCACCATCGGCTGACCTCTGCGATTCTTTTGCGATCTCTCAGGTGTTGCTCGATCAGGACTTTGTCGACTTCCGACTCTGGATTTTGCCTAGGGAATAGGGCTCTTGCATAGGTACCCTGTTCTCGCTTTATCATTGAAACAAAGATCGATACCACGATGCTATCGTTCCAACAGTCCAAGATGTGCTTCGGTTTCGGTCACCTATAAGAGTTCCGAACAGCTACCTGTCGTGAGGCTTGTATGTTGCCAAGATGCCGCCGAGGACATCAACAGATCAAGTTCCAGCCGCAGCAGGGGGGGCCACGGGGCGGGGGTCAACAAGCGGTCTGGACTCTACGGCGTGCAATTCGCCAAGCCCCTCGATTCTGCGTGATGTCATCGAACATGGGCGCTGAGATGCGCTAAAACATGCGGGGCACCGGGCGACGCCTCTCCTAATATTTCTCACTCCGGCCTCGTCACCACCATCACCATCAGGCGGAAACAACGCGGGATCGTTCAAGGGGAACACGGAAAGCTCCTCCGATAGACAAGTGGATGGCAGTTTGACACGGGTTTTGACACGCGGAACCACCGGAGCTCGTGAAGGAGGCTCGCCACCTATCACAATGTTTTGGGATCAAACCAAAACTGCCCCGCTATCGAGTCTCAGGAGGCTCGAAGCACCCACCATTTATATAGGGAACGGGCGAAAACATCGGACTCTCTCGGTGTCGGTGCTCACCTTGGAGCGGGATGGAAGAGATTCTGCTTCAGGTGCCGCTCCGATCGGGCTTGATGGATAGGTTGGTGCCATTGAAAATTGAAACCAACAAGGACCCCGCCGGGCCGCACTGTCGGTTGCCCGCTTGTGCCTGTCAATCTGACGACATTACAGTATTCTTGGATATCGCAGGCCCATGCATAGGCCTACGAGCCGGGGCGTTCTGCGCCTTTGAACTTCCATTTCCGTCTTTTCTCTCCAAGCCTCTGGACAATCCCATGGGACCTGCAGGCTGCAGACAGCGGCGTAGGTTTCCAAGTGCCCTGTTACTGTTTGCTGCTCCCACAACCCCTGCCTCTCAGGAGGTTGAATAGGAATGGCTTCACCCCATCCATGCCTTCCAACTTTTCTGCATCTGCTTTCTTCCCTGCATAGAGACCCCATACCCTTACAGTGCTGCTGTTCCCTGCTTTTCAGCTCTAACGATCCAAACCCGCACGAAGCTGTCCGAGAACCACAGAACCAAGCTCCGCTAAGCTGCCGATTCCCTAGCGCCTCGCGATTGACACGCAGGCCAACCTAACCTTGGTGTCAGACGGTTCCGCCCACAGGTAGCAAACCAGCTTTCGACGTGGCTTGTCACGACAGGGTGTCGGACTACTCTTTCGAATCGTACTTAGCTCGGGGTAGAGCTCTCTCTGTGATGTCCTCGCGACTTCTGCGCTCTCTCTGCCTCTGTTTCTGTCTCATCTGGTGCTTTTCAGACAGAAGAAGGAGGTAGATCATCTGCCTTTTTGGCCCCATTTGGACCCGACGCGGGGCAACGTCCATCACCATTGGTACCTTACGGATACCGTACCTCGACTAGCTGCATCTACAGCTCCCCTATTAGCTCCCAAGTTCGCCCCCCTTTTTTTTTCCCTTCTTTCACCATGATCCCCAAAACCATGGTTTCCAACGAGGTTTACCTGCTGCCACTCAACGATGATGGCTCGCCCCAGGTCGCCGGCGAGTACATCTATCTGGCACCCAAGACCAACGACCCCGTGACCATTCGATTTGCCATCGAGGGCACATCGAGCATCTGCCGCCATGGCAGCTTGTGGGTCAACATTCCCGAACAGGGACAAGAGTTCCGCCGGGACAAATTTCGAGAGTTCAAGTATGTTTGTTGTCTGGGAATGCAATACATGTCGTACCACAAAGACTAATCTGTTTTACTAGGCTTGTCCCCGATTTCAACCGCACACTTGAGATCTCGATCCCCATCTACGAAGCCGGTGCTTATGCCTTTTACACCACATACGCCGAGCTGCCCGACCTTGCAAACAACTTGAAGCCCCAGACAAATGGCAATGCCAAGGTCCAGACCAAACAGACACCAACATACTACATCGATGTTGCACCACGGCTTTCTCTCGATGGTCAACCACTGCCGCTGCCTGCACTGTCCGTATTCTCTATTATTAGCAAGTTTATGGGCAAGTATCCCAATGACTGGGAGAAACATCTCCGTGGCATCAGCGACAGGGGCTACAACATGGTCCACTTCACGCCACTGCAAGTGAGAGGTGACTCGAATTCCCCATACAGTCTCTACGACCAGCTCGGGTGGGACCCAGTCTGTTTCCCTGGGGGTGAGAAGGATGTGAAGAAGTTGGTCGATAGCCTCGAAAAGAACCACTCTCTTCTCAGCTTGACCGACATCGTCCTCAACCACACAGCACACAACAGCGAGTGGCTTCTGGAGCACCCAGAAGCTGGCTACAATCTCACCACAGCACCATGGCTCGAGTCGGCATATCTTCTGGACACCAAGCTGCTCGAGTTGGGCTTCAAGCTGGGAGACCTCGGGTTGCCTACGGAACTCAAGTCTGTTGACGATTTGGTGCTGATCATGGGTGCGATCAAGAAGGAGGTCATTGCTGAGATCCGCCTCTGGGAGTACTATGTTCTGGACGTCGAACGGGATGCTGATGCGGCTGTCGAATCTTGGGTCGTTGGCCGGACCAACTTCCCAGACGGTTCCATCGGCAGCCATGGTCTAGACGGCCTTCGCTCTACTTCCCTTGAGGAACAAGCGCAATGGATCACCAAGCATGGTCTTCAAAACATGGATCGTCTAGGAGAGCGTTTTAGGAGGCGTGCCGACCCCAGTGTGGCTGCGGCCCTCTTATCCGTTCTGTTTGGCAAGTACGAAGGCAACAAGGGCAGCGCTGCCGACCAAGCCGCTGCTCGCAACGCCCTTGTCAAGATCCTAGACGTTGTCAATGTGCCCTTCTACGAGGAATACGACGCTGAAGTTGCCGATACTCTCCAGCAGGTCTTCAACCGTATCAAGTATGTCCGGTTGGATGACAACGGCCCAAAGCTTGGACCGATCAACCAGGCGAACCCCTTGATTGAGACCTACTTCACTCGTCTGCCTCTGAATGAGAAGACCAAAAAGCACAGGAAGGAGGACTTGGTGCTTGTGAACAACGGCTGGGTCTGGGGTGGAAATGCTCTGGTCGACAATGCCGGCCCTGAATCCCGAGTCTACCTTCGCCGTGAGGTTATCGTCTGGGGTGATTGCACCAAGCTCAGATATGGTGCCGGGCCTCAAGACAGCCCATGGCTGTGGGAACACATGACCAAGTATGCTCGCATGTTAGCCAAGTACTTTGCCGGCTTCCGCATTGACAACTGCCACTCGACTCCTCTTCACGTTGCCGAGCACATCCTCGACGAGGCTCGCCGCGTGAGACCTAATCTATATGTTGTCGCCGAGCTCTTTACGGGCTCCGAGGAGATGGACTATGTCTTTGTCAAGAGACTTGGCATCAGCTCTCTCATTCGTGAGGCCATGCAGGCGTGGAGCACTGGTGAGCTGAGTCGTCTTGTTCACCGTCATGGTGGTCGCCCCATTGGCAGCTTCGAGGTGGATGAGATCTCGAGTGCGGATGTTCGCAGTGCCTCCAAGACCAACGGCACAAACGGTACCAATGGTGCGAACGGACATTACACACGTGAGATCATTCGCCGCATCAAGCCAGTTCCTGTCCAGGCACTCTTCATGGACTGCACCCACGATAACGAGGTTCCTGCTCAGAAGCGCGATGCCCGTGACACGCTGCCCAATGCTGCCCTTGTCAGCATGTGCGCGAGTGCCACCGGCAGCGTCATGGGTTACGACGAGATCTATCCTCGTCTGATCGAGCTTGTCCACGAGACCAGACTGTACACATCCGAATCTTCCAAGTTCCCAGTCAAGGTCGGCGAAGGCAAGGGTGGCATCGCTGGTGTCAAGAAGCTTCTCAATCAGATCCACACCCTGATGGGTATGGATGGTTATGATGAGACGCATATCCACCACGAAGATCAGTATGTCACTGTTCACAGAGTTCACCCAGTATCTCGCAAGGGATACTTCCTCATTGCCCATACCGCGTTTCCGGGATATGGAAACGGGAATGGCGCTTTCAACCCCGTCCACCTGACCGGCACCAAAGCCAAACACATTGGTAGCTGGATGCTCGAGGTTGATGCAAGCAAGGAGGCTGTGGAAGAGGTTCTGAGCGACAAGAAGCTGCTCCGTGGCCTTCCCAGTCGTCTAATTGGTCTCCCTGGCGTTCGTATGGAGGTCAAGGGCCAAGACACCATTATCACTGTCCGCGAAAAGTTCCCTCCTGGCAGCATTGCGCTCTTTGAGACTTGGATCCCCGCGGCGGAGCACTCGAGTGGTTTGGACACCTTTGTCACGTCCGGAGCCAAGGCCGCGATGGCCGAGCTTGACCTGGTTGATCTCAACTTCCTTCTCTATAAGTGCGAGCCGGAAGAACGTGACGCCAGCGAGGGGAGAGATGGCGTCTATGACATTCCCGGACATGGCAAGCTTGTCTATGCTGGCCTTCAGGGCTGGTGGAGCATCATGAAGGATATCACCAGGGACAATAACCTGGCTCACCCACTGTGCCAAAACCTTCGTGATGGACAGTGGGCGCTGGACTATACCCTGGGTAGACTTGAGCGTGCGGCCAAGAAGGAGAACTACAAGCGGTTGGGTAAGCCTGCTGCCTGGCTCAAGGAGCGGTTCGATGCCATCCGTGGTATTCCTAGCTTCCTTCTCCCGCGGTACTTTGCCCTGGTTCTCAGGACTGCGTACATGGCTGCATTCAAAAGGGGCATTTCCCTCATGAACAACAATGTTCAGAAGGGGCAATGGTTCCTCCAAAGCCTCAGCATGGTGAGCGTTCAGCAGACTGGTCTTGTCAAGTCCGCCTCGCTCTACCCTGATCGCCTGGTCCCATCGCTCGCTGCTGGCCTTCCTCACTTTGCTGTTGAATGGGCTCGCTGCTGGGGACGCGACGTCTTCATCTCTCTCCGTGGTCTCTACCTCGGTACCGGTCGCTTCGATGAGGCCAAGGAACACATCCGTGCCTTTGCTAGTGTGCTGAAGCACGGCATGATCCCCAACCTTCTCGGTAGTGGTAACACTCCGCGATACAACGCCAGAGACTCTGTTTGGTTCTTCTTGCAGTGCATCCAAGACTACACTCGGATCGTTCCTGATGGGCTGTCGCTGCTTGACGAGAAGGTCAAGAGACGGTTCCTGCCATATGACGACGCCTACTTTGATACCGCCGACACTCGTGCCTACAGCAAGGAGAGCACCATCCGCGAGATCATCCAGGAGGTCTTTCAGCGCCACGCCGAGGGCATGAAGTTCCGCGAGGCCAATGCCGGCCCTAACCTTGACATGCAGATGAGTGACAATGGCTTCAACCAAGAGATCAAGGTCGACTGGTCCAACGGTTTTGTGTTTGGTGGCAACCAAGACAATTGCGGCACTTGGATGGACAAGATGGGCGAAAGCGAAAGAGCTCGCTCCAAGGGCGTCCCGGGCACTCCCCGTGACGGCGCCGCCGTTGAGATCACCGGTCTGTTGTACAGCGGTCTCAAGTGGTTTGCCTCCCTCCACGAGCAAGGCAAACACGACCAATCCGGCGTCAGAAAAGCCGACGGCTCAACCATCACCTTCAAGGACTGGGCCGCTCTCATCAAGAAGAACTTTGAGCGCTGCTACTTTATCCCCATCTCTTCCGAAGACGACAAGGACTACGACGTCAACCCTGCCATCATCAACCGCCGTGGCATCTACAAGGACTTGTACAAATCCGGCAAGGAATACGAGGACTACCAGCTCCGTCCCAACTTCCCCATTGCCATGACCGCCGCCCCGGATCTGTTTGTCCCTGAGCATGCCATGCACGCGCTTTGCATTGCGGACTCTGCTCTTCGCGGCCCGACGGGCATGGCTACGCTTGACCCGAGCGATTTGAACTATAGGCCTTATTACCGCAACAGTGAGGACAGTGATGATTTTGCGACGAGTAAAGGGAGGAACTATCACCAGGGGCCGGAGTGGTTGTGGCCTACGGGGTTCTTCTTGAGGGCGCTGCTCAAGTTTGATCTGATGAGAAGGGGGAAGGAGGATGCGGAGGGAAGGACGGAGGCGTTCCAGCAGGTGACGAGGAGACTGATTGGGTGTAAAGAGATGATTGAGCGGAGCCCATGGGCGGGGTTGACCGAGTTGACGCAGAAGGGGGGGGAGGAGTGTGCTGATTCTGTGAGTTTCTTTTTGAAGTTATAAGGATTGATGATGACGATGTGCTAATGCTGGATGCAGTCACCTACTCAGGCTTGGTCGGCGGGTTGCTTGATTGATCTTTATATGGATGCTGCGGAGGAGCAGGCGATTTTGGAGGCGAAGAGTTTGCCTCTGAGGTAGCTTGTTGGTTGGTGGTGGTAGCCATGATGATGATGATGACGACGGAACATGGGTGGAGGTCTTTTGTTTTCTTCGAGGGGGTGGTGGAACAGGTATAAAAACAGACATAGCATAGAATGGGTAAATTGGAATGGGAAATGGGTACAGTCGATGTCGAGATATTGGGGCTTTTGTGGTGCATGCGGATTACGTTACCTAGCAAAGAGTTTTTGGATCGATCCCTCTTGGATGCTCTCTTGATGACCAAACCATTGCCTGCTTTCAAGGCCTCTGAACTATTGCATAAGGCATGTGGGCTATTTCTCGATATATAATCGCCGTTGGTAAGTGGTGCTGATAGAGGCCTATCTCAACATGCAGCATCCTTTCTCTGTCCAGAATGGTTGGGCAAGGTACCTATGTCAGCTGACGGCAGCGGTAATCTTGCACCAAAGCAAACGCAACATCCGATCAGACTTTTTCTGTTTTGTGTGCTGAAACAGGAAAATGTGAGAGAGCTCGCGATGATAAGCCTACTAATCGTTGGTTGGATATAGAATGAAGAAGCAGTACGAGAAGAGAAAAGAAAAGAGCAACTAAGAAAAGGGGTGAACATCCGAATGGGGTAGCCCAGACTGCGCTACGCACTCAGCCAGCCTCACAAGCAGAAAGGGGGTGTCCTTCTAAAGTGAGTAGGAAAGGAAGCAAAAGGGAAACAAAAAGGTGGCTGTGTAAGGGAAAAAAAAATAGATAGGAAAAAAGAGCTGTGCATAAAAACAGTTGATAAAAAATGAAGTTGTGTCCCCTCGACCGGAATCGAGCCGGTGACCTTTCGGTATCGATAAATTGCCATTTACAGCCGAACGTGATAGCCAACTACACCACAAGGGGATTTATTGTTTGTTGCATTGTTCGTTTTAGAATTGTCCCTATGTTGAGAGGGCCACGCCGAATTCGATCTGTCTTTTGTTCCAGAGTCGGGTTTAAACTGCTACTGTACAAACCTGAGCGAAAACTGTTGAAACAACACCTGGGTAGGTCTCCTCATCAGGCCAGAAAGAAGGTCCTGATGTGGCTGTTTGGGGCGTGCGTGGTTTGAGGTTCGATGGATGACGAGTCTTGGGAGCTTGGCCAGCCTACGCCACAGCGGACGTCGTGTGGTGCAGAGGGGATGGAGAGTGCTCAGCCTACTTCAGAAGAGGACCCCAAAGAGGTAGTCAAAATGCTTCATCTCATGAATAGTATGCCTGTGCTTTGTAAAAGCGTCTTTACCAAACTTTCAAGGCCTTGATCTTGTCTCACAGTGCCGCAGCGGGCGCGCAACGACACATCAACAGCGTTACACCACTACTAACTCGCAACATCACCGCCTCACCACAACTATACCCAAGGAATCTCACTCTCAGCAACAGAATTCGTCTCTCCATTCTCCATATCAAACGGTATGCACTTTATGTAAATACCTAACCCCTTTTATACTTGAACTTTCCCACCAACGCCCTTCACTCCCCTTTCTTTCCCTAGCCAAAAAAAAAAAGAAAAAAAAAGGAGCGTGTAGCTATAACCAAAACCCAAAACCCACGTGTCCTATCCAAAACCAGCTCATTCCCCATCATCAATAATGCAAAAAAAAGGAGTGACTCGCCAATCCACCAAAAGATATCCATCCATTCCCAATGTCTCCTCCCTTGGTAGATACCCGCCTGAACCAGCCACAGCACACACACAATGCAGTGAGGAACGTTCCAAGGAAAGGTACAAAAGGTGGTGAAAAAAAAAGATATTATACTGCGTTTGTTTCAAATACCTACGTGAGAAGAACGAAAATTAGAAGGAAAAAAGCATCGAATAGCCCAAAAAAAAAAGGAGAGTGATGGGGTATAATGCATCGAGAATTTCACTTCGAATGCACAAAAAAAAAGATCCCTGAAACCTGGTTTTTCCCCTGGGCCCCTTTCCCAAACCAACCCGTCCCATGCACACACCGCACTGTTTTGGTGATATAGTGGGTGTTTAGTTCTGTGTGTTATTTACGTCTATGCCTCTCTGGGTCTCCAGAGAGTATTGTGTTTGTGCAATGCGTAGTGAGTTGCTGATGAAGTCGATGCGGTTCAATATGATGTTGGACTGGTATCCAGAAAAACCACTCATTCCTGAGCCCCTCACGTCCTCTCCTTGACAATCCACCTCTTCTTCTCTTTCGGCTTCTCCTCGTAAACCCGGGCAGCGCTGAGGGGCGCTGGTTCGAAAATGCCGGCTGATGGACGGTGAATTGACCCAGAGTTGCTTTCGTTTGGCACGACTCTCCCTGACTCGGTGGCATGCGCGAGGTTGGCACCCAAGGCGTACTGGCGGTCCTTCTTACGCAGGTATCGTTTCCTCCAGATGCAGGCGCCAACCCAGATACCGACTATCGCCACCACCATGATCACCAAGAAAATTACCCATTGGTAATGTGTCTCGATCCTGTAAGCCTTGGTTAGCCAAAAAGTCTCGGGCATCACGAAAACGTCGTCTTACCAGGTGCCGCCAGTAGAGTTCTGCGCGGGCCGCACTGTCGATGTGGACGTCGTTTGTTGCCCGGCAGTGGTGGGTTGTACATTGGAGCAAAAGCCCGAAAACCACTGTTGGATTCTTGAGTAGGCAGACGGGTCAGATGCACACGCATCGGGGCATACTCCTGTAGTGCCCGTCTTCCAGGCCGCCAACCTAGGGTCGTTGCAGAAGCAGCTATTGTAGACGCTGTTGTCGGCTGGGGGCGCTCCTGGTGGTACGCAGCCTCCGTTGACATCGTATAGAACACCACAATCCTTCACACAAGCAGGCAGCTGCCCCTCGGGAATAAGAACGATGTCTGCAGTGAACAGTCAGTACGGGTCTGTGGGAAACACAAGTCGGTTACATCTCGAAATTGACGTTGCGCAGTACGTCCTTCAGGGAGATGAGCGATGGCAGTTGAACGTACCCATTGCGAAGAATGTTGGCAAACAAGATTGAAGCTAGTGTAAAGTGCCTGCAGCTAATATGTTGTTGATTGACGATGGGAGGCTGTCGATGTATCGCAAATCCCGACGGAAAGAAACCGCTGCTGGCTGCAGGAAACCACGATGCAGTGATCAGCAGGACAGCCAACCGATCGCCTGGAGGGCTGGTGACGTTGACACAAGCGCCCGCCTGTCGTCCGAAAAGCCAATTCTCCTTTGACAGGCGCCCGAAAAGTGTTTAAACTAGCGGCGACCGGGAACGTCGGAGAGATAGAAGAAAGAAGGGATGCAGACAAATGCTGTTGTTTGTTTCCTTCGTCCTGGATCGATTCGGAGAGGGTCTTTGTTCGGTCGTCGGCACTTGGGTGACGTCGCTATCGGTAAAACAGTCGCTTTTCCTTCCTTGGTATCCCTCTCAAATACTGCCAGCTCCGTTTCTGGAGTCGGCCAAGTCTTTGTCGATTCGTTGTTTTGTCGAAGCCGAAGAAAACAGCCCAGGAAGCCAAGATGCAAGTGTCGGGATGTCGTCGTCGCTTATAATCCGTATCGAGCCACCTTTTACAATTTCAGATCTCTCAAGAGCGAGCGAATGGTCCTTGAATTCGTCCTTCTTCCTCAATCCACTGTCGCCGTCGAAATGGCGCGAATAACGAGCGTCGTTGGTGGTGGTGGGAACGAGGGGAGGGTGGATGAGCAAGAGGGAAAGGGAAAAACAGGCGGTGGTGCAGAGGCAATAGGAAAATCAGCGAGTGAGAGGCGGGTGTGAGTGGTCGTCACTGGTCAGACAAGTTGGCGGGCTGCAACCTGGAATCGGTCGCTAGCTACAAGCAGTTCGGGTGGGCTGGGGTCGGTGACCCGGTCCGATGGGCTGAGTGATCAAGCATAAGCAGTGAATCAATGGAGGAGCGGTTGGCGGTCTGGTCTGGCTTCCCTTTCGTTTGGGCGGCATTCATCAAATCCCCCAAAACGCGCGGGTCCGCTGTGAAGGCTGCTGACGAAGCACCCTGGCAGTGTCTAGACACACACTGACGGCCACTGACACCCCAACGCATGGCGAGTGATCATGGTGGCATCCAACGCAATTCAATGGCATGGGCCAAGCAGCACGGGCCCTTAGGTCCCTACACCCTCAACGTGACCGTAACACGTTTGGTATAGCGGCCAAATTGTGGGCGTGAGGGCGCCGCGCTGCGCTCTCACTTCTCTCGTATGGAAGTAATTACCTCTTCTATACAGTAACCCCCGGGCCGGTGATTATCGTGTTCCCGTTGGAGCATTCCTTCGTTTCTTCAGCCCACCTTGATTTCACCTCATTCAGCCCTCAAGGTGTCTCGGCAGGGGACCCCGCGCCTCCAATCGATTCACGTCATGGTTCAACTTTCTCAGACATTTGGAAGGCTGAGGCGAAACAAGACAGAACAAAAGACCAGACAGCAGGGCATGGCATGACAAGTCCCAACCATGACAAGCCCAGGCAGCTTTTTTCCCATCAACAACACAACCAACACCGAGTTTAATAGGATCCGGCTCGACCGGACGAAAACATCAACCGACTCTCAGCGTTCAATGACACGCCATCAGCGGGAAAAAGCGGGCCTTGTACATGCTTGTGGGCCCCTGTTCCACACCCCACAATTACCCAAAGCGCCACCAATCAGCTGGGACGCGCCGAGGCGATTCACCGTTCGCTGCTTCGGTGCCGTTCGTGCCTGGACCTTTTTTCGCATTTTAGCCATAACGTTGCATTATTGAAATACGCAAACCACCACCTACCCAAAAGGTTGATATTTCTCTTTTGCATCCGTATAGGGTGGTGGGTGTATGTAATAGCTCACGTAATAATCGCTCGTGTTTGTGTGCGTCCTTGCTTTGGTGGTCGGGGGCCCAGGGATAACGTCAGACCAGTGCTAATGAACAGCCACAAGGTGTGAGGGGGAATGCAAGGTACCGGGCATCATGTCCGCGCGGCAGCAGGAACGGTATGCCTCATCGGAGTGAACCTACATGCGTTTTTGGCCATGGCGTTCAGCTTATGTGGCTGATATTGTTGATAGGACAGCAGTCGGGAACTCGTTGGGGGTTCGAAAAGACTGGACATTGGTCAGTTGACATTATATGAGAACTTCATGCTCGAGGAAAGATTGAGGTACCTCAGATACTCATGGAGAACACATCAGGAAGCTAAACTCCGATCCTGGGTGAGAAGAATTATGTCAAAACTCGAAGTGGGCAACAACAAACCAAAGATTCCCGAATCGGATGATGACAAGGCGGAAAGGTTGAACCCAAAGTAAAGGTCAAAATCCAGACCTCGGTGAGGTCAAACTCGCCTCTAGCAAGTCGGTGTGAACAACCAGCACATCACGAACCAAGAAAAAAACAACCAAAAAAAAAAAAAAAAAAAAAGGAGAGAAAACACTCAGCTGTTAAGAAGACCGAGAAACAGCCACAATCTGAAAAATCGCCCGACCCGCGGCTGCACCTTCCGCAACACCTCCCCAGAAAGTCCCTGCATGGGTTTCGACCCTACCCTAGATTCTGTAGGATACCGCCCCTCCAGAAATAACTGACCATCCTTCCTCGACGTCATCAAACGTTGAACAGTACCTAGATCAGGCATCCTCTAGTTCTGTACCCATCTCACACGTCTAATCTTGCCTCTTTAGCTATTGTCCTTCGCCTGCCGCTGTGGCAAAAGAAGATCACTCGGCTCCGAGGTATAACAACAAGCTGCCCGGTAGTAGTTGCCTTCTTTCCTTTTCTGGATTTTCTCGCATGAGGATGGCCTGGTGTTATCAAGACTGATTTTCTCTCTCTGTGTGTGTGTGTCACCCCTTTGAAGGATTGATCCCCCAACCCACGACCACGTGCTGTGATGGGCTTTCTGTGTGACGGGAAACCCGGCGCCCCCGGCAGTCCTTTCCGAAGTGAGGTTGATAGGCGCCTAGAGGTTACCTAGGGGTTGGTGTGGAATTGACCAATACCGCGGCTTCCCAGGTTTGTTTGATAAACGTGGCGATAAAAGAGACAGTTCGCAATGTCAAGAGGGGAGAAACATACATGACATTTGGCAGGACGCACTGTCAAATGAGGAAACATACCCCCAGCCTTTCGCCCTGGCGGTGAGGGTTTGCTTGAAGGGATATACCCAGGTTTGTTTTCAGGTCTGCTGGGTTTGGCTGAATAGATCAGACGGTGTAAAACATTATACAATTCTTGCAGGCTTTGGTCATACAATCAACAAAAAAAACCCCTTTTTTCATTGCTTTTCATGCCACCCTTCAGGTGTGTCTCCCGAGGCTCGTGGTCGGCGCCTAAATGGGGAAATGTTTGAGAGTAGGTGACAACGTGGCTGTTGGTGAGACTGAAGATTTTTTGCTGGTTTACAATGACGTCTGTTGTCTTTGAACAATATGTCTATCTGTTTGGCGCATATTGAGCTGGGAGGGCGTGGAAATCGGGCCAATCGGACGGGGTGTGAAGAGAGCCTTGGGCTCTTCCTCTCTGTCGATGCGGATTCGGATCGAGATGAAAGAGAGATTTGGTTGCCTATCCCGAGCGTGGTGGTAACCAGAGTGAGAGGGGCAAAACCGCCTCTCGTTGTTTGATCCATTCGATGCTTGACGATGGTGTCTTGAAACAAGAGAGGCACCTTTGATCCAATGTGCTGTCCGGATTGGGCCGCATGCCGTGCAACTTTGTGCAATATGAATTCAAATCATGAATGAGGCAGAGGAAGCCACCACGCCATGGCATCGGTAAAGAATAAAGTAGTTCGGACCGGTGGAGGCTGAGAATAACCTTCTGAGGTATTGTTCTCGCGTGGTCCGAGGGTGTAAACCTCCCCTTGTGCTACGGGTAGTGTTGGCTTGTGACCTGGGATTTCGGGGTCTTGTTCTTCGTAAGGGATTGTCCGTGGACAGTCGTCTGAGTGTTTCGGCTACCAACACCGAAGCTGTTTAAAGACGTGGTCAACGCAAAGCTCTTGCTTACCCTATTTTTCGGCTCGGAGCTTCTAACTCGGACATATTGTGTGACCACCACGTTTGAGGTTCTTGGCTGGGACCAGGGAATCATCAGATGTTCCCCCTCACATGGGCAGGGATTGCTTTCGGCCGTTAATACTTGCTGGAAAATATAAGCCTGATGGCACTGCAAGATACCCAGGTAGAGCAACCTTGGGCGATTGGGTGCCCCTGGGCTGGATGAGGATGCGTGGCATGCATTAGTGCCGGTATTTGAACTGATTGTGCTAACCACATGGGATTGCTTCCTTGGGGAGACATTCTGGGCGTACATCGTCACGGTGTGGCGGTGTTGTACGCTGAATCCCTTCCCAAGCTGGTACAGAATGAAATTTGACGCCAGAAAGTGAGACATCGATGGAGCAGGTCAATGATGCTGTCAAACTCTACCGAAGTTGCTTCACTGCAACGTTGTCAGCAGTTGATTTTGGTTCTCGCAGATCCTCGGGTCGAGCTTCTCGACGAAATCCTCGAGTACCATGGTATATGTTGCTTCTTGGATGTTCATCATCATATTTCACCTTGACTGTATAGTGCAAGCAGTCCCGATGTAATGGATCTGCAGCACTAACCCGTCGAAACGGTGACGCTACCGAGTACAAAGACTTGTCTTTGTTATTGTGGGAGTGCCCACGACGGCTGCATGGACCCTTCTTCCTGACGATCCCGCGCATGGTTAAGTGTCTTGAACTTTGATGGCGGAAGTCATCCTAGACGGGTTATTACGTCTCTTTTTGACCATTCGGAAGCTTCAAATGGTCTCAAAAAAGACAAGGAACACCCCTGAGACGCATCATTGCCGCTCGGTCTGGAACAGCCCGTCCGCACCCACCTCGCCTAACGTTGGTGTTCAACATTAATACAACTGCATCCACCCGGTCCTGGCAAGGCAACTAGAGGGGTAGATAGCCTTATAGGACCGGCGAACTTTTGGAGAACCTTGCTGAGGATATCATTCGGCGGGATGTCCGGGAGGCCTGTTGGCAGCAGCTGAAAGCTCAACGCCTTCTCAGACAGCAGACAGCAGGGCAAGCTCAATACGAAGAGCTAGAACGTCTTCTTGTGCCTGAAAAGTCTCTGTTTCAGACCCATTAACTGCCCGTAAGACAGCCTAGTACAGCAAGTGCCTGGGGTAAGTGCCTAGGTAGGTATAAGCTCGCAAGTGACAGGTGCCAGAACTCAGTATCTGCCATCAGTTACGCATGAGGGATGACCCAGCTATAAATTCCATGTCGCACAACACCGGCCCAGCTCGGAGGCCCGTTTGCCTCCTGGCGGTGAGCCAACAACTATCTTCCGACCTTTGTCTATTCGAGTCGACCGCTCCGTGGTTTCTGAGACAGAGCCATTGACATCCATCAACCTTGTGCTTGACGCCCACGAAGACGAATACCATCCGAGACATGCCGGAAGTGACCCTCGAGTACATGCAGGAAGACAGGCCATGTGAGAAGGAGCAACGCGGGATGTATGACATGACAATCGAATTTCCACTCCGGGATGGAGTGGGCTGTAGACACCCCTTGCGGCAGGCTGTCGACGAGTGGGATGACAGCTAGTACCAAGTACTGCCGAGGTGATTCTATCGTGGGCGAAGATGATCATCCATATACGAAGGCAGAGTGGCTGGCAAGTTGAAAATATCTATAAAGGCCTGGTCCCTTGAAGGAAAGCCCCGAGTATTTTCATCAGCCACCAGCACCAAAGCAAGATCTCAAAAGAAGAAGAACATACCTTCAACACTTCCCCGGCCATATCTGCAACACAGCACACATCTATCAACATGCCGGAAAATTCAGGAACCAGCTCTTCCCAGAGCTCAACTTCAAGTGCCACCTTGTCAGGTGCGTCTGGATACTCTTCGTATCCGAGGTAATCCAAAGCCCGTCGCCGGTTAGTACACTGCTGTCTACTCATATTTGCCCTCGACCAAGTAGCTGACCTAGGCTTCAGGTGAATTACGATGGATGAGATCGTTGGAGTGATGGTGTACATGCATGTTTTCGGTTTGCCAGGAGGTCAAAGGTGTTGAGTGATCATTGATTTCGACAGTGGAGTGGTGGACATATTTGTTTGTCTTGGGGTCTGAAATGGGGCGGCTTTTGTGCTATTTGTTTGTTTTCTTCGGTTGCTGGGTTTTTGGCTAGATGTTGGCACTGCGGTGGTGATGGCGTCTTTGACTACGAACTTCTCTCGCTTGTTCAATTAGATACCTTGAAATGATGGGTGAAAATCTAGGTCGCGTATGGCTTGCGGAGCCAAGGTGTGAAGTGATGAAGTGATGTATTTCGTAAATGTGAATTATGAATTTTGTGCGAGCATGTCCAACGGCCAAGAGAGCCAGTGGCCCCAATCCGGGCCAAGATATGCTGCGATACTTCTGAGTAGGTGAGCTCCTGAACCTGCAACATGCCAAACGTCTCGACTCAGGTGTAGGTAGAGTGCCCAGTAGCCCATCACGGCAATCGCCTCTGGTCGTCGCTGGGCAAGCAACTCGGTGAACTCTGATGGTACGGCTGCAGGCCTAACCCAGTCGTCAGCGAATACCAAACTTATGGTTCAAGATAGGAAGGTACTTGCCACATGAAGATCATTAGATAGCGTTCATTGCGCACGTCATTGCCCAAAATCCTGTCAAACCCAACTTGCAAATAAGCCGCAGCTTTGAGACAGGCCTCTTTCGACTGAGCGTCGAGACTGAGTGACTCAGAAATGAGATGTCGAAGATAGTCGCAATGATTACCCAGTGGCAATGACTGGGAAATGCTAATCGCCCAAAGAACAAGGTGCTTGATATCAGATTCGAGTAGAAGCTCCCATGCACTGATCGACACGCCTTTCAAACCACCAGAGATTGAAAGAAACTGAAGATAGCGGTCAAGAAACCCATCCAGATTCGTATCGCGCTTAGCGAGCAGATCGGCGAGTAAATGTCGGCTGAGCAAAGAACAGTAGAGGAGGAGGGCGGAGCAGTTGTTCTGGTCAATCTGAGCCTTGGCTGCAGTCTCGTTGTAAATCGAGATGGCCCTTGTTTGAAGATGCATCGCGTGCTCCGAGAAGAAGTCGGACCTGTCGGGGAAAAGCGCAACCAACCTTCGCGCGCACACCGCCAGCATCTGGTGCATCAAGTACGGAGCTTGAAGAGCGCATCTGAATAAGAGTTTCGAGGCAAAGTCGTGTAGCTCCTCGTTGAGTTCTGGTGCGTGATCAGAGAATTTGAACCGGATCATGAGCTCCATATGAGCACTGTTGACATCGTGACAGAGATGAGAGCTTGGATGGCCCAGCTCGGGTAGGGGGACACCAGGAACAGGTGCTGCATCGCCAATTGTGCCCACGGCGACATTTGACATCGGCGAGCCTGACACTGATCCTGGTGGTGATACCGCGACTCGATCACCAGCGAATGATACGGGTGCCCCGTCGGTCACTGGTGAGGCATAGCTACAGTCTCGGCCGGAGAGCGTACAGATGATGCATTTGGGGCGTTGCTCGTCACACTACATCCAGAGAGGTTAGCAATAAAGTTTTGAACCCCAACGGGAGCTAATTAGGTAGGTAGGCACCTTGACATGACGTCGTTTGCACTCGAGGCATCCCGCCCGTGACTTCTTATGACTTCTTCGAAGCATGGTTTGTGTCAGCACCAAGAATTGGCTGTTGATCAAGCGGGTGTAGGAAGTGGCCCTCTGAAACTCCAGAATTTCAGGGATCAGATCCACCAGATGCGGTTGGATTGGTGGATAGTTCCAGGCCTTAGGCCGGCTCCTTGACCGCGATCTCCGCTAAAAGAAGGCTCGACCTGGGGGTAACCTCGAAGTTAGAGATCTCACAAGTGTGAAAGAAATTCACCAGTAACGTGGTCATTCTTATACAATTAGATTGTTCTTGGTGTATTGAATTTGCTGACCTTGACTGCGGCCAAGTCGAGTAAGCACTTCGCTCCCATCGAGTTCTAGATCAAGTTTAAATCATTGATTCATCCCACGCTGAATCAAAGTCCGATAAATCACCCTAGGAAGTCGACCTAAGAAACTCCGGCTCACTAGCACTAAGCCACTAATGGCAAATTAATAGTATTGTTTGCTGCCGGGCGTGAGGATGCGGCACTGTCGTGAGAATTGATTGGGCAGTGATCTGATTGTGTAGAAATGCCCATCGGATAGTTTCAGACCTCGGATGACAAATGGCGCCTACAATACTGCTTCTTGCTACTACCATATCCAAGGTCAGTTCAAAACTATTGGTCTCACATAATCTCAACCTCCGACTGGCACGGAGCATTCTGTCCTTCTGCTCACGCTCAAATAGGGTCCTCCTGCGGATATATGCGGGTGAGAGCGGGTGTATGAAACCCATATGATTGCTCGACACTGTAAGGGTCAACCTCAAGGCGAACAGAGCTGACGTTAGGAGGAGACAAGCGAGACAACAAGCTTATCTAACGATGATAAGCTGACTCCACGGCTATGTTCAGGTAGGTAAGGTGTACAGCGACCTGCCAAAGTATCTCATCGATAAACAGCTGTGGCACATCTTTGCTTTCAAAATCTTGTGGTTGAAGGCGTCGAGTCGAGATACATACCAGGTAGTTCCAAATGTTTGTTGAAGAAAAGGTCCAAAATCATGCAAACGAAAAAGAATATCAAAAACTGTGAGCCTGAAATTTGTCCAATTGGAAAGCACACCGACCGCCTCGTTTGATGAGGACCCAGCTGGCTGGTTCTTGGGATCACCGTGGCAGGGGGGTTTCCCCTGCTAGTTTCCGCCATGAACTCCACGCTCTCCCGATGACGATCCTTCCCCTCGACACGCTTCGAAATTCAAACTCAGACGCGTCTTTTATTTTGCTCTTCATTCTCGAGTGGTGTGAGCAAGATCAGGACCGCACCCCTTTTTGGCCCTTATCTGAGTTCTGTGGCTGGATTTCAACCATTGAACCACTCCTTTTGGGTCGGTTTCATCATCTCCTGACTTTTGACTCGTACAATCCGAGTCCACAAACATCATGTCATCATGGGTAAATCACCTGCACATTCCAGATGCACATCAGAAACTCCACCACTAACACATACCCAGGTGTTCCGTCCTCCCGTGGCACCATCCACAGGCGTCATGCCTATCTCAGCTCTCCTCTCGCCTCAGCCAGACGCTGATAAAGAGAACCATGGCCCCGCTGCAAGCAAAAGCCTAAAGCGCAAGTCCCTCGATGACCATGCCGTTGCCCCAGCAGGATCAGGCATGTCCCTCGACGACATCGACCTCGAAGGCGTACCAATCGACATGAACTGCGACCAGGTCCGTCGCAAAATCAATAATCTTCTCGAATCCGCCGCCATGACCAAAACCGCCTTCGCCCGTGAGATTGGCGTCAGCGCCAAATCGCTTTCAGGCTTCTTAGGTGTCCACGGTCCCTTCAACGGCTCAGGCTTCGCCGCCTATGAAAACGCCTGGGAGTGGTTCAAGAAGAGGGAGATGCTCGGTATCCCTCTGCTAGTAGGGAAGAAACAAAAGACTTCCGCCACCACTGCTGCCTTTGCTGCTCCTGCTGTCATTGTGGCCCCAGCCCCCGCAACCGCATCCAAAGCCAAACCCTCCGCTGCCTCTTCGGTTCCTGATATCAGCGGAATTCACCTGGAAGGTGAGGAAACTGACTCCGTCCCCGTCTATGACTCTTGCGACGAAATCCGCCGTAAGATCAACCTACATCTCAAAAAAGACGGCGTCACTCAGGCGTCTTTCCTCCGGGACATCTACGCCCAGCTTCGCGGCCCCAGCAAACCAGGAAAATGCTTCCAGAGCGTGCAGCTCCAACGATTTAGGGGGATGAAGGGGAGTAACTGTGGGGCGAAATCAGCGTTGTATTACGGGGCTTATGTCTTTTTTGAAAAGATCCGGATCAAGGAGGGGAAGCCGAAGACGAAGCATAGGTTGGAAATGGAGGGGCTTTGGGGGGCAGCAGGGGCGGATAGGGAGCATAATGGGAACACTAGGGTTTGGGTCTTGGGTGTGGCGAGCAAAGGAGGTGGTGGGAGGGGGAGGGGAGGTGGGGGGTATGCTTACTTTTGATTAGGGGGGCGACGGGTGGTAGAGTTGGTTTGGTATGATGCTGCTGGTTATCGATGATATTTGGAAACTACCTACCTTATGTTTGGGGGATGACTTGGAATGGCGTGGTTTAATTTGGTGGGAGGAAAGGGGGCGGCTTTTGTGATATTCAAGTTAGCGATCTTATAATATGGTACTTATCGGTGCTCAGTGTGCTCAAAAAATAATCCAATCTCTTACATTTATTCTTTTCTGTTGCCTTTATAGGCCAGTCATGCAAGATCGTGCCTCAAAGGAAAGGTTTTGGGCGAACCTAGAGGATCACCTCGTGACTGTCGTCTAAGTTTGAACCACAGAAAGCCACCCTATTTTTTTTTTGAAAACTTGAATAAGGACAGGAAACTTTTGAGCTTCCAGTTTCAATCACCTTCTGCTCTCCGTAAAAGATTGATTTTCCATCAACTCTCCATTCGTCAACAAAGCCACAATGGACGCATCTATTACCTTACCGATGACCTGATCTCGCTCCAGACTCTGATATACGTTGGCCTGTCTGCAAAAAAGGCAGGTGAGCTCTGGTGGGAGTGGATGTTCCGCGGGCGTTATGACCATTCCAATCACAGGACCTTCCTCCACTTCATTCGCCATTACACAACTGAGAACCACGTGGTGGAAGCCGCCGATGACAGCGATACTCAACGGTGAAAATGTATGGATGCTTGCGGTCTTGCCGTCGAAATTGCAGAACCTGAAGCGAGCTATGGGAAACGACGGGCACGGCTCGATTCGATGATGATATTTCGCGTTTACATCCTGAACTCTGTCATTGAAAATTTACCTGGGCCCAACTGCCTTCGACATTTCCACTATCCGACAGATGACTGGAAGAAGTTTGTTTTAACTTCTCACAGAAAACGGAAACTGGTGGCCTGGGTATCAGCGGTCGTACCACATGTACAAATCGGCCATCCTCACGATTGCCGATGCATCTCGGGGACCCAATCATGCGTTTGAGACATTGAAATCCTGGGACGATGTCACGGAGGTCACGGAGGGGTTCTTGTTTAAACTTGGAGTCGATCGGAGTGGGTCCATAGCCACCAAATACATTGTCGAGGGGTACGACGGAGGATGCACATGGCTCGACAGAAATGCTCGGGACGTCAGGGCTTTTCTCTTTACTGAGGTTGACTTGAATTCGTGGCTTGCAGAGAACCCAATTGCAAATAGTTGAGGGAAAAGGATTTGGAACAGCTACAAGGTCTTCAAGACACCCACAATGTCTTCCAAGAGAGTGGGAAGGGAGTGATATCATCAGGGACGTGTTTATCAACGCACAAGGCAAAGCTTTAAATTCTGCCGCAGTCTACTATCATGTCCATGACGTACCTAGATTCTGTTTGATAGGTACCTGGGCCACGATCGTGGCTTTGACCTCGCCGCAGCAGAAGCAGTGACTTGTGCCATGCAGTGTGTTTTATCATAACAGGTATCTCGACGCACTGTGCTCCTGTATTATCTATGAAGAACCAGGGAATACTGTGATAAAGTCACTCACACTGTGATATAGCTATTCACAAGCTGCCACGTCTCCGTTGTCTAGGTCTTTATGGCCAGGCTGGAATGGGTGTCGAGATTTATACCGTATAACCTGGCGACCACGTTTTATAGGATACCCCCGACTTCTACGGTCCTACCATGCCACCTCTCGTCCGCCCTCGGATAAGCCTGGGCACTGCCATGGTGACCAGTTGCCTCCCCTCCCCCCGCCGGGTTCGCAAAGTGTTCCATGAGAACGATGTTAACACAAAGCGAACCCGCTCTCTGGCAACCGGTGAGTGTGTCACCCTGAGCGTGTTCTCCGAAAACCATTTGTTTTGTGACCAAATCATGGCCGAGATCATCGGACTCGTTTCAGGAGGTATCGCAATAGCGCAGGCCACTGGTAAAGTGGGCAGTCTGGTCCTCTCACTGTCTCGACTCTGGAAAGAGGTCAAGGATGTACCAGAAACAATCAAAGCTTTGGTCGAGCAGCTCAAGTATTTCGCCCTATCGATCGATGCAATCGAAGCGGAGCCACAGGCAGTGATCGGAGGAGGATGTCCTCCAACGCCCATGTGCGCTCGAGCAATTCAGCATTGTCGACATTTGCACGAGAAACTGGACAAATTGATCCAAGATCTCATGGGCGATATCGTTTCGACCAGGAGGCGGAAGAGATATGTCGCCAAAACAAAAGCGGTGTTGTTCTAGAAGGCCGAGCTCGAGATGTACGAAAAGCGACTTTATCGAGCATTGAAAATACTCGAAATGGCTCTTCAGCTGTTGAAAATGTGAGTGGAATGACGCAAAGTCATTTGCTCATCTTAGGGCAAGAACTGATTAGGTATTGATCGTCTAGATCCCAAATGAACTTTCAGCCCGAATATATCACCTCAAGGGTTGTCGAGTCGATTCCCCTTCAATAGAACCAGGAACGGGATCTCAAAGAGAAGTCTCTGACCAGTAAACAAGAGGCAAATTATTGGGTGTCGGGCAAACTAACCACGAAGCTGAATGGGACTCGTATAGGGCGAGCTCGCTATCGGACACGGATTCTAGCAGGGTGCCTGGTTTTCGAGGTCATGCACGATGGGGATGCCAAAGCAGCCTCCGTAAAGCAGGAAGCGAAAAGTGAGTATCCCCTTCTTTTTGTAGTCAGGGATGATTTCTTGACATTTATCATGTTAGGCTACCGGATAAAAGTGGCATTTCCGCTTTGGTTCATGAACAGAGCTTAGGACCTTCAAGTACTTTTTGCGACTTGTGGATGGAATGTTGCTTTTCGGCAGTATACGATCGACGAAGAAGGCAATGAATTGTTTCTTTGAGTCATGTGTGAAACACATCCCATCACACCGAACGAGCTTCGAAGCTCCTTTGCCAACGGACACACCACACCATATATTCTGGATGACAAAGGAAGGACACTATTACACGTCAGTATTACATCTTTTATAGGAGCTCGACCAGGTACTAATGGTGCATCAGTATGCCATGATCTTCAACCCAAATCTGGTCGAACCTCTCCTCGTTGCGGGTCTTAACCTGTTCACTATCAGCTTTGAAGGTCAGTCGCCCCTTGCTGGTTGGATGTGGTACCGTACACCTACCTGAATCCAGAGGATCAGCTTGTATTTCATACGGCCCTGCTCTCCTACGGCGCACATGACAACTTCAGCGGGGACGTTCACCTCGTCGGCAATGCTGGACAGTAATAGCGCTGCTGTAGAGCCTCTATTCTCCGAAATCTTCTGCCACTATTACAAGTCGCCATGGCAGCGGCGCCTGAAACTCTTCTATCGATTCTCGGGCTTGGTTATAGACCATAAAGTTGGGCAACGGTTTCTCTGCCAACAAGAAAGCTCAGGCACCGACGATATCCGAGCTGAGGGCTTCCAAAGAGATGGGGTCGGTTTTGAATCACATAATGTGGATGTTATTCCAAAGCGCTATGGGGCTAGATCACACTTGCAGGCGACCAGGCCACGCTCCTAAACGACTGGACACGTTTACTGATACCGTCAAAAAAATGAAAAATGGTCCGATGTGTATTTCGTAAGGTTGCCGGTATCACCACGCTCGAGGATCTTGATGCCCGCCATCCTGCCCACGGTCTGACCGCGCTACTCCTAGCACCTGCGTTATGTCGGTGTCCAGACTTCGGCAAACTTCTGGAGTATCAGAGGGGCTGGAAAATGGCAGTCCACTCGGCTCTCCGTGGCTGGCTCGAAGATTTACATATTGCGGGGATAGATCTGGAGGAGTATGGTAAGGCTACAAAAGCAGTGTTTGTCGACACTGGTATCTTGCAGTCTAGGGTGTGGCCGGTGGAACCGATATGTTTACCAGTACAGCCGGAGTTCGGATATGTGTGGAAGGATATCATCTATGGGCCATACCCTGGGGATTGGTTGCTTGTATTCGAGTAGGATATCGCTTGGGAGGACTTTTTAAGGGATTTCCGGGAATGGATTGAGAACCCTCCCATGAACATTCCTGGCTCTTGGATATATTAGATACTGACCTTAGTTGAAGACCAGTGCTCTTGAACATCTTGCCGGTTCCATGTTGTAACATGTCGTCAACCTGGTGTCTCGCCTTTGCCAAGCAGGGGTGATGTTGGCGTGTTTGGACTTAATCCGTCTGTCTTGAGAGGTATAACGGAAAAGGCAAAGAGCAATGTATATAAGAATGGCGAAAGGAGTCTTAAGGTGTAGATTATGTAGCACAAGGATATCAAGTGAATTCACTACGAGAATATGTCATCTGTTCTTCCTGCTCCTACTGAAAGCTTGATGATTGGATCCAGCCAAGCTTCTGTCCGAGATGCAAACTGGCCCTACAAAAAAGAAAAGATGGGGCACAGGGTTCAGCGGGCCGCGGCAGCTTGCCCCGGCAGGCAGTTGCAGCTTCAACCCCTGTCTGAACTAAAATGGGGGGCTCCATCTGCCCAAAACTTCCAGCCTGTCCCTTGGAAACTTTTGCACCAAGGGTTCCAGGTCATTTCGTGGCGGCGCTCTTCAACCTTCTTGCGCCGGTTCAACCACCAAACGGTGTTCTCTCTTTGTTTCTAACTTTGGTCAGTTTCCTCATGGAGTAGCGCAATCATGAAATTCTCTGCTCTTTCCCTAGGCCTGTTGGCCCTCCTAACGCCGCTGAGTGCGGCATGGACCAAAGAAGGTATGTGAAGTATTTGCTGTACATTCCCGTCGCAAATGCGATGATACCCCTTTTCTATTGCGTCTGGTTCCAGTACCACTATATCTACACAATCCAATTGTATCAGACTTACTAACATCTTCGATGATAACCAGATCGCGAAATCTTCCGTGTCCGCGATGAACTCCTTGCGCATGAAGGTCCCGAAGTGACTTTTTACGATTTTCTTGGTGTCAAGAAGGGCGCAAGCCACGAGGACATCAACAAAGCCTACAAGAAGAAGTCAAGAGAGCTCCATCCCGACAAAGTCAGACAGCAGCTCCAGGCCCAGCGCATCAAGGCCAACAAGGAGAACGCCAAGAAGTCGGGAGGCAAGCCCGGTGTGCAGGTGACGAAGCAGCCTACCTCTCATGAGCTCAAGGTTGCCATCAAGCGCGCCTCAGAGCGCCAGGCTCGTCTTTCCATCGTTGCCGATGTCCTCCGCGGCCCTGGGCGTGACCGATATGACTACTTCCTCACCAATGGCTTCCCTACCTGGAAGGGCACCGAGTACTACTACAACCGCTATCGCCCCGGCCTTGGCACTGCTATCTTCGGCGTCTTCCTCGTCGCCGGTGGTGGCGCGCATTATCTCGCCCTTTACATGAGCTGGAAGCGCCAACGCGAGTTTGTGGAGCGCTATATCACATTTGCGCGCCGTGCTGCTTGGGGCGACAACCTTGGCCTCAACATTCCTGGCGTTGATGGCGAGCCTGCCGCCGCTCCTCCCCCTCCCCCTCCTCAACAGGTGTACGAAGACGAAGACGGTCGCCAGATTCCCATCAACCGCAAGATGCGTCGCATGCAAGAGCGCGAGACAAAGAAGGAGGCCAAGGATAAGAGTGCCGGGCGCAAGACCCGCCGTGGACGTGACACCAAACCCGCCTCGGCCTCTGCTTCCGGATCAGCGACTCCCCAGCCGCAGCCCGAGGGACAGGGTCCCACTGGAGCCAAAAGGCGTGTCGTTGCGGAGAATGGCAAGGTTCTCGTTGTTGACTCGGTGGGCGCCGTCTTCCTTGAACAGGAGGATGAGGATGGCAATGTGGGCGAGTACCTTTTGGACGTAAGCTACCTCTTATTCATCCAACTTTTTGCAAAATAAGCTAACATATCCACCAGCCCAATGAGATCGCCAAACCTACCTTCAAGGACACCGCCGTGGTTCGCCTGCCTTTCTGGGTTTATGATCTGACCATCGGGCGTGTGTTTAAGAAGCGCACCGCGGATGACGAGTTTGAGGAAGAGATCGACGAGCCCACCGAGACCGAGGTCGTCAATGACGACGAGGATTCTGAGCCCGGAAGACTCACTCCCTCCACCGGCTCTGCCGAGGACTTTGAGCTTCTCGAGAAATCGGTCGACTCTCTGGGTCAGGCCAAGGCAAGCGGTACCCAGAAGGCGGGCGGCAACAAGGCGAGCAAGCGCAAGAACAAGAAGAGGTGATCGTGGATCTTTTTTGCGGAGGGTATGTTGCTTTACAAGCGGTAGAGTTTTCGAGCAATACGTGGCTTTGACGTTGCGGTTAGGTTAGGTGTTCTTCGGTGGTTGATTTAAAAAGGAGGAAGAAAAAAGGAGGTCAAATCTTCTCTCGGTATATGGGACGATGTTATGTGACAACGAGCCCCGGATTTCCCAGGTGAAATATTGCTACCTATATATATAGAGCTGTAGCACTCAATATGGCTACATACAACCCGCCCCGCTCCAGATTCGACATGCATTGACAGAAACAAGACACAGGCAAAAGCAACAATGAGCATTAATCTATTGCATCGACGATACAGAAAACCAATCCTTCATGGTATATTAACCACCCATTTCAGCCCGTGCTGTTTCCATGGGCGAATTTCTCCCAAACAATCCCAAACTCCACGCCCAATCCCAAGTTCATAACCTTTCCGAATCCCGACCACACCTCTCATCAGCCAGCACATCAAGATCAAATCCCCACCGTATGGCTCAACACCTTCGCGGCTAACTGACTAAGAAGCCTTGCCCGATCCGCCTGTGGCAGTTCCTGCACACAATCACAAACATTTCAGTAGCTGTCACTTATGCTCGCTCTCCCTGGATGAAGTCAACCCCAGCAGCACTCACCTGAAAGACCGCATACACACTCTTCCCCTTGGCATCCCTCACCGCGCCGAGCCTGTTGCCAGCCACAGCACCAGCAACCATACCAGGTACATTGGCCATAATAAACCCTAGCGCGCCACCACTGATACCGCCCAGCGTGCCCCAAAACTTGCCCGTCGGCCTGTTGTTGTGCGACGGGTCGGCCATGCCCTCCTCCCGGAGCATCTCTTCGAAGACATCGGCGAACTGCTCATTCTCAGCTTGCTGGCGGGATTCTTCCTGGTTGTGCTGGTTTTTGGCGCCCTGGCTTTGGTTGGTGAAGAAGTTCCAGGCCCAGGAGTAGAAGTTGGGCTGCTGTCCTTGCTGTTGCTGGTCGGAAGCGGACTCTTCGGCGTCGGCGAAGGGGTCGAAGCCGCCGGGCGTGGGGCGGGAGGAGCTGGGGCCGGAGAAGAGTTTGCGCTGGGCGTCGTATTCGCGGCGGCGGGTGGGATCGGAGAGGGTGTAATATGCGTCGTTGACGAGCTGGAATTTGCGGGTTCGTTCGGGACGGTCAGGGTGGTCGGCCGGGATGCGGTCGGGGTGGGTTTTTAAGGCAGCGCTGGGGGGGTTGTTAGTTGGGGAGATATGATGGTGGTGAGTAGGATAGGTTACCGTTTATAGGCATCGCGGATCTGGGTGGTGGAGGCGGTTTCTGGGACCTCGAGGATGGCATCTATAGCGGTAGGTATGGTAAGTCAACAGTTATGAGTTCGTGGAATATAGGCTTGACTGACAGTAGTTGGGAGGCCGGCCGGCTTTTGCTGCCATTTTGATAAGATGCGGGGGGTCAGATGTCTAACAGTGCCGACGGGTACAAGAGAGCAAGCAGATGAACAAAGGCAATCTAGGTTTGGATTTTTGTCTCGGAGACTCTTGTCTGGCCAGGCTTTCCCAAGAGCTGGTTGGTACATGCAAAATCACTAGGACAAGTCTATCTTCAGTCGCCCAACGGAAGAGAGAGCGCGAAAGTGGGATGGTGGAACGAGAGTTGGATACGTCATCTGTGGCGTCGAAATGTGGCTTTTTTGAACCAACCCCTGTCCAGCCGTCCCCCGCATTCTCAGGGGACGCGAATCAGTGGGTCTGGGTCACAGGCAGTTCTAGCCCCTTGTGCCCCTCTATACGGAGCATCGCTATCTCCCATGATCAGCACATTGTCTTCTTGGGTGTATCGACAGGAAAAAATCGCCAGCCTCTTGCTCAAGGCTAATTCTCTTTTATTGGATATCCAGTGAGGTATAAATGGAGAGGCAGGAAGCAATAGGCAAGGAATGGCCGGCAGGGTCTGGAATCACCCCGCGTGTCACCAATTCATTGGACGGCCCGGCGGAGTGACTGGACGTGTAGCCGCTTTCCTCGCCCGTTTCAGGTCGGCTGGCCTCTGACGCATGACTGCTCTGGGGAAGGCGAGCTGTGTGACTGCCCAACCAGGCACTCGATTTTGAGCCCAGAGCTGCAATAGAACCTCAACGTGGAGGTGATGGACGCTGTTTTTGGTCTCTTGGAGCCTAACAAGCCGTCCTACTCGGCCAGGATCGGAAGTTTTTTTTTGTTCACCTGCGTCACAGACGCTCAACAATTTGATGACAACCCCTCCACTGCTTCATCTGATCCCGAATGCCTGGAAAGCCCCACCGGTGATTTTCTCTATATATCGGACCAACTGCGGAGACATTTCCTCAGGGCCTCTTGCTGTGTCCTCGATTAGCAGCTCCGAGTTACCTTAAATCTCCAAGAGCTTATTTTAAACGTGTGCCCTTCCACGCGTCATCGTTGTACAAGCACACGCTGCCTCGAAGCACGTCCCCCACCACCACCTTACCCGCAGGCGTGCTATCATACTTGCAAATCCAGCAAAGTGTCGATTATCAAGACAATTAGCTTAGACAATAAAGAGACGAGTTGCAACAATCCAGAGTTCTTTTCTATCCGCAGACTTTCTGACTCTAATCCACACCATCTCTGTGGCATCCCTGACTGTTGAGTACGCAACAGTCAAGATACCATACACACTACACGGCCAGGATTAATCTTGTGTTAAATCTGCCACTCAAGTAAACGACAGCAAAAAGCCTCTCTTGGTTATTATCCTGCTAACATTTCGTACAGACTTCAAAACAGTCATCATCTCCAACAATGGCGGCAGTATACCAAGACATCTACTCTGAAGACGAGCTCTCCATGCTCCTAGCTCGTCAGTTGAACTTCAACAATCCCTTACCAGCACAACCGGAGCAAGTCCCAGAACCCGTGGCCGTCGCAGCGCCACAACCAGTCCAGGCTCCCAAGATAGTCTACATCTCCCAGCACTACAACCACTCGGCAGCCCACCTGGCCAAACAAAAGGAGCAACAGCAACAACAACAAGAAACCCCAGTCCGACCCTCCTCGGAGCCCCCCCAAAGCGAACACGCGGCCATCGAGCGTGTCCTCCGTGAATACTCGGTCGATTCAACCAACCTCTCCCCCGCCCAGTTCCACCTCTTCAAAACCGTCGACGACCCCCAACGCATGCACTTGATCGAACTCTGGCGCGCCTGCCCCCCACCCCCCCAACACCCCTCAGATGTAGACTACAACTCCACCACCTCCCTAGACCAGGAAGAAGCACTCGCTCGAATGCGCTGGGAGCAGGCCCAGCAAGACGAAATGGAAGCCGAACTCCAGGCTCAGCTCGAGCACGAGTACCAGATCCAAATGGAGGAGCAGCAACGACAGCAACAACAAGGGCAGCGACAGCAGGAAATGATCATCTCGTTGGATGGGACCCCCTTGACGCCAGTTCAGGTGGGAGATGGTAGGTGGATCCAGACGACGGCAGAGTATGGGGATATGGAACCTTACATGGCGACTGGGTATCAGGAGGAGCTGGCGAGACGTGAGTATGAAGAATCTGCTAGGCGGGCGCTACTTTTGGCTGAGCCATATGAAAAGGACATGATGAGCGGGCCGTACAGCCAGTTTGGGCCTGCGCTCGTCCAACCAGGGGGTGTCATCGGTACTGGGACGGGTGGTAGTAGCGAGGCTAAGAGGGCGACGGACCCGGTGTACAAGTCCGTCGGGGTGGACTGGGCGGCAATTCGGAGGAGGGAGGAGGAGTACCAGATGAGCATGTCGGAGCAGTATGGGAGGTTGATGCTGGCTAGGGGGGTGGAGGATGAGGAGGATGAGGAGATGTTGTGAGTTTTGATTACGTTGAGATATTGGTATGTGGCTCGGGTTCCGGGTCGGGAAAGAGTTCTGTCGGTCATCGGATCTCGGAGGAGGGACTGTGATGGATCTTGCATAAGCATTGTTTGTGGCGATTGGTGTTGATTTATTAGAATGCAGAAGATGGCGAGCTGAATCTGATCATTTGATATCGAAGAGTATGTGAGGGTTGCTGGCTGGGTCAGTGGCTTGTTTGTGATACTTGATCGTTGCAAATGTATTGGTTTGCTTGAGCGATCTGTGCCTTTCGACGGACCGGGACTAGGAACCAAGAGCTGAAGTCGAAGCCTGTCAGGAGGGTAAACTGGAGTACTCCGCTCGGTCAATGACACAGAGGTTCTTGCCTCATAGGAACTTTGGCCTTGGTCTTGGCTGATGGTGGCTTGACTTGAAGACGAAGCTACCTTACCTTCTTGATTCGGATGTTCTGTTTGAGGCAAAAAATTGTTCATGTCTGAGAGCAATCGAAGGCGAGATGTCGAGACATAAAGGCACAAGATTTGAAGGCTTCGCACATTTTGAATAACCAAACGAGTTACCTCTCTGCTATTGTTTTGTGTACTTTTCAGACAGCGTCGCCAGCACTGTACACCTGCAACAAAATGGTTCGCCTTCTAGCTATTTTCTTTTCCGCTCTTACATTCATGGGCGTATCTGCGCAAACACCAGGAACAACCGGCCAATATGTTCTCGACACTATCGCCGCACTGCAAGCCAACGCTACCAAACTTCAGATCGAGGCACAGAAGCTCAATTCTCTTAGCTGTGCCCAGTATCTCACTCGCACTGGTCCCTTCACAGCAATTCTTCCAATCTTGGAGGACATCAAGGCCGGTTTGCTTGTCGCTAATCCAGTGATGCGCTCACTCACCCCCCTGAACGATTCAGTCTGCACTTCAGCCGACTTCGCAGTCTCTACAAGCATTACAGCCAAGCTTGGAGGGTGACGTCGTCTTTCGTACGCAGTCTTACCAGGCTGAGCGGCAAGGGACAGCTCAATGCCTGCTCCCTAGTCCCGTCTGCTGGACAGGCTATTCGCACGCCTCTGGAGCAGTTGAGCGTTGTTGTTCTGGTGAGTTGATTCTCAATACACCTTTTCTTGTCCGGTTTCAACGATCACCAGTAAAATACGCATCACTTATCGGAAGCAGCGCTGACCTTGTTACAATCACAGGAGTTTTACCTCAGTATATTTCCACTCACACCTTTCCAGGGAGACCCGCAGGCAGTGCAATACAACACGGTTCAGGAGCTGCTTGCTCTTGCTATTGCGGCGTATTCTCCGGTTGTTGGAATTCTTCCGTAAATCAAAACATCGGCATATGGTGAGGGAAGGATATTGATTGTAACTACACGCTTCCATGGCATTCTAGCCACATAGGGGGTACATTGAGTACCCAGTTAACATTATGAAAGCGAAATATTATTTGCCATCTTTATTATCACAATGCTTTGTCTTAACCGTGGAATTGGCCAATCTTTGGAAGGCGCTGCCCTCCTACCTACCTGCCTACCTGGGTAGTTTGTCCGCTCTCCCATGTGGGATGACGCTCGCGACGGCCAACCAACAACACTTCCACAGCATGTTGGGGATTGACCTCTTATTTCCACGCCAAAACATTATCCGACACTATTTTGCGCCTTTTCTTCAAGGTACACAAGAGACGGGAGTCAGTAGCGTTATTCATGCGGTCGATGATGGGAAATCTGCAAAGATCTGTCTCGGATGTCTGCAATCGCCCTCCAGCGTCTTGGTGGCTTCGGAAAGGAAAGTTCCAGACCCGAATCAATCATGATCGTGTGCATATCTACTTTCTCGCCTTCGGCTGTTGTCATCACAAGTGTCCTATCGAAAGCCTCACCAGATGCCCAACACCTACGTTCTCGACAGCATCGCGGCTTTACAAGGCGACACCACCAGACTTGAAGCTCCCAACACTTTCAGCTGCCCTCTTTACCTGCCTAGGTATGTTATCAGACAAGGGCCCTTTACCAAAGTTATCCCTCTCGTGAAAGACTTGGAACACTGCTCGCTTCCGGCCCAACAATCAACACTTTCAGGCCCTTGAACGAAACGATCCCGGCCGATCTGGCGAAATCCCAAGAGATCTTAAGGGTCAAACGGCCTGCACCACCTACCTTTCCAGGAACCTCGAGTCAAAGGTACCTAGGAAAGCATCAAATATTCGCGGGTTGGGTAGGCTTCTGTCCCACACACACTCAAAGCCACCAATTCGAGGTTTTCGTCTATGATGGTCACGGGTGCATCTTTGAGATACCCACAGATCTACCAACCGGCTCGGTGGCTTTCGTGAGACTTCAGCCCGGCCAGTAGAGTCTTTTGCTTAGCAAATTGTGCCCCCCCAACCCCCGGGCCCCTCAAACAATTATACAGGATTACTATCTTCTAAAAGGATATTTCTCAAATTTTCATTCCCGAAATTAGTAAATTTATATAAAGTAAACCTTATTTAAAATCTTAAAATTCTAAAAAGAAAAAAAAAATTATAAAATACCAAAATAAAATATATATATAGAAATCTATTAAATAAATATATAAAAAAAAATAATAATTTTGAAAAAAAAAAATAATTAAATTAGGTAATTTAAAAATAATTTAAATAATATGTATATTTAAAAGAGAGATAAATAAAAAACTTATTTTGTTATTCGTAATAGATATAATTAACTTCCTTAATAAAATAGGACTTATATTTATAATTTATTTTTAATTGAAATTAAAAAAGTAGG